ACGGTCTGACAGACACTAGAGGAACCCCTGAAACTATGGCCCTCAGAAGCTCTATTAACCCGGAACAAAACCATTCCCAAAGCCTACTCTTCAGACAAAGATTAGACAGGACTATAAAACCATAGAACTGAACAGAAGATTTCAAAGGGTGGCTCAAGAAGACAAAGTAGAGTATTATAATGACATGTGCAAAGAGCTGGAGATAGAAAACCAAAAGGGAAGAACACACTTGGCATTTCTCAACCTGAAAGAACTGAAGAAAAAATTTAAGCCTCGAGTTGCAATACTGAAGGATTCTATGGGGAAAATATTAAACGACCCGGGAAGCATCAAAAGAAGATGGAAGGAATACACAGAGTCATTATACCAAAAAGAATTGGTCAACGTTCAACCATTTCAAAGAGGTAGCATATGATCAGGAACTGACGGTACTGAAGGAAGAAGTCCAAGCTGCACTGAAGGCACTGGTGAAAACAAGGCTCCAGGAACTGACGGAATATCAATTGAGATGTTTCCACAAATGGATGCAGTGCTGGAAGTGCTCACTCGTCTACACCAAGAAATTTGGAAGATAGCTACCTGGCCAACTGACTGGAAGAGATCCATTTTTATGCCTATTCCTAAGTAAGGTGATCCAACCGAATGCGGAAATTATCAAACAATATCACTAATATCACATGCGAGTAAAATTTTGCTGAAGATTGTTCAAAAGCAGCCTCAGCAGTATTTTGACAGGGAACTGCCTAAAATTCAGGCCAGATTCAGAAGAGGACATGGAACCAGGGATATCACTGGTGATGTCAGATGGATCCTGGCTGAAAGCAGAGAATACCAGAAAGATGTTTACCTGAGTTTTATTGACTACGCAAAGGCATTCGACTGTGTAGATCATAACAAATTATGGATAACATTGTGAAGAATGGGAATTCCAGGAACACTTAATTGTGTTCATGAGGAACCTGTACACAGATCAAGAGGCAGTTGTTTAGACAGAACAAGGGGATACTGTGTGCTTTAAAGTCAGGAAAGGTGTGCGTCAGGGTTGTATCCTTTCACCATACCTATTCAATCTCTATGCTGAGCAAATAATCCGAGAAGCTGGACTATATGAAGAAGAACGAGCATCAGGATTGAAGGAAGACTCAGTAACAACCTGCGATATGCAGATGACACAACCTTGCTTGCTGAAAGTGAAGAAGACTTGAAGCACTTACTGTTGAAGATCAAAGACTATAGCCCTCAGTATGGATTATATGTCAACATAAAGAAAACAAAAATCCTCACAACTGGACCGATAAGCAACATCATGATAAATGGAGAAAAGATTGAAGTTATCAAAGATTTCATTTTACTTGGATCCACAATCAACACCCAGGGAAACAGCAGTCAAGAAATCAAAAGACCCATTGCACTGGGCAAATCTGCGGCAAAAGATCTCTTTAAAGTGTTGAAAAGCAAAGATGTCACCTTGAAGACTAAGGTGCACCTGACCCAAGCCGTGGTATTTTCAATTACATCATATGCATGCAAAAGCTGAACAATGAATAAGGAAGACGGAAGAAGAACTGACGCCTTTGAATTGTGGTATTGGCGAAGAATATTGAATATACCATGGACTGCCAAAAGAACGAACAAATCTGTCTTGGAGGAAGTATAGCCAGAACGCTCCTTAGAAGCAAGGATGGCCAGACTATGTCTTACATACTTTGCACATGTTGTCAGGAGGGATCAGTGCCTGGAGAAGGACATCATGCTTGTAAAATACAGGGTCAGCAAAAAAGAAGAAGACCCTCAGTGAGATGGATTGACACAGTGGCTGCAACAATGGGCTCAAGCATAACAATGATTGTGAGCATGGCACAGGACCAGGCAGCGTTTTGTTCTGTAGTACATAGGGTTGCTAGGAGTTAGAACCGACTTGATGGCACCTAACAACAACATGAAACAAAAAATAATACATGTGAGGAACGTGCTTCTCAGTTCAATCAGATATAGGGGACCAAATGGGCAGCTCCTGTCTGAAAGCAGGATAAGATGGCAGGAAGGGATTGGAATGGACACAGGGAACCCAGGGTGGAAAGGGGGAGGATGCTGTCACATTGTGGGGACTGCAACCAATGTCACAAAATATGTGTATAAATTTTTGAATGATAAATTAACTTGAGCTGTAAACTTTCACCTAAAGCACAATAATTAAAAAAGAAAGAAATCAAACAACACGTTTCATTGGGCAAATCTGCTGCAAAAGATCTCTTTAAAGTGTTAAAAAGGAAAGATGTCACTTTAAGGACTAAGGAGCACCTGTTCCAAGACATGATGTTTTCAATCACGGCATACAGATGGGAAAGCTGGACAATGAATAAGGAAGACCGAAGAAGAATTGATGCCTTTGAATTATGGTGTTGGCAAAGAATATTGAATATACTATGGACTGCCAAAGAATAAACAGATCTGTCTTGGAAGACGTATAGCCAGAATGCTCATTCGAAGCAAGGATGACAAGACTTCATCTCACATACTTTGGACTTGTTATCAGGAAAGCCCAGCCCCTGGAAAAGGACATCATGCTTGGCAGAGTAAACGCTCAGTGAAAAAGAGGACGATCCTCAAGGAGACGGAATAACACAGTGGCTACAACAGTGAGCTCAAGCATAACAATGATTGTGAGGATGGCGAAGGACCGGGCAGTGTTTTGTTCTGCTGTACACAGGGCAACTATGAGTCGGAACCAACATGACAGCACCTAACAACAATGCTTTGAGGGAAGGAACCATGTTTTAGTTGCTTTGAAGGGTATTGCCAGCCACACAGCAGATAATCCATAAATGTTTTTCAATGAATTCATTGAACATCTACTATTCCACAAGCATTTTACTACCTTCTTCATATACTGTCTCCTTTCCTCCACACAACAACTCTATGGATTATCAATATTCCCATCTTACAAATGAGGAAACTGAGGCTCAGAGAAGTTAAATTAACTAGCTGAATGTCACACTGTTAGTAAAGGGAAGAGCCTGAATTTGAACCCAAGTATATTTGACTAGAAAGCCCTTGTTCTTTGCCTAGGACTTCACTGAATTAATTGCCTCTGCCCCATATACAAAAGCTCTTCATGATATGGAACAAGACTACCTTTCCAGTTTCATCTCACCATGCTTCTCTAAAGGCACCTGCTTTTTGGTCACGCTCAATCAGATGTAATTTCCAAATCACATCTCTCTTACTTTCTACTTGTTAGTAAAAGTTAACATTTACTGAGGAATTTTTATGTGCATCTATTCTAAGCAAGGAGCCCTGGTGGCGCAGTGGTTAAGCCTCGGCTGCTAACCGAAAGGTCAGTGGTTTGAACCCAGGCACATCGTAGGAGAAAGATGTGGCAATCTGCTTCTGTAAAGATTTACAGTTTTGGAAATCCTATGGGGCAGTTCTACTCTGTCCTACAGGGTCACTGAGTTGGAATTTGACTCAACGGCAATGGGGTGGGCTCTGTTAAGATTTTTATAAATATTATGCTACTTAACCCTCACAAGAACCTAATGAGGTGGATATTATCATTTTGGAAATGAAGAAACATATTTAAAGAAGTTAGGATAACCTCTCTCAATAGCCAAGGTCACACAGTTACCAAGCAGTAGCAATGGGATTCAAATACAGTTCTTACTTCAAAGTCCATGCTCTCATCAAGCTTTTCTGGAATGCTATTTCTACCCCATCACCAGTTCCTCTGGCTGGGGAATAAATCCATCAAGACTCAGTTGAAATGTCACCTCGTGCAATACATCTTCCCTGACTACCTCACACAGCTATGGACTTCCTTCTCTGTTTTCCCATAGTTCTTTATTTATAACACTAATACTTATCACATTGCTGTAACTGTTTGTCTTAATAACTACACCAGAGTTTTCCAACAGAAATATTATGTGAGCCACATATGTAATTTAAAATTTTTTAGTAGCCACATTAAGTAATAGGAAACAGGTAAAATTAATTTTAGTATTTTATTTCGCCCATAATCTAAAATATTATCAACATGTAATCAATATAAAAGTATAGTTTACATTCTCTTTTGTTTCTGAAATTGGTGTGTATTTCACACAGCACATCTGAATTCAGACTAGCCACATTTCAAGTGCTCAGAGCCACAATGGCTAGTGGCTACCTTATTGGACCAAACAGCACCAAACTGAAAGCCTTTAACCTAGGTAGTAGGATCTGTTCTTTTCATCTTTGAATCCTCTCTTGACTAGCACACAGAATGTCCCATTAATGTCTGTCCAGTTAATAGATTTATGCAAGAAAAGGGTTTGATTTGAATCATGGAAAGAATATGAAATGCAAAGAAATTCAAAGGTGGACTGGTCATACTGCTAAAAAGCAAGGGATACCTGAGGACAACAAAACCAGATCACTATGAGTATTTCAGCAAACTAATAGGAAAAAAACACCTTCCCTGCCCCTTTAAGGGGGGGGGTGGTTATGTGAAGCTGTTGCAAATGTTATTAGCAAGATAAATAAATAATAGCAGCTAACATTTACTGACTGTGGGTCAGGCTCTGCTCTAAATGCCTTATACGTATTATCTCATTTAACCTTCAGGACCCTACGAGGTAAGGACTATTATCTCCATTTTCATAGAAGGAAACCGAGATTTAGAGCACATAAGTGACATGCCTATAACAAGTGGCAGAGGAGATTTAAACCTAGGCAGCTTGACTCCACAGCTTTCAAATTGCTACACTCCATTCTTCTAATTTATTAAACACATATTACATACAAAGCCCCATCTTAGGAACTGAGGCGGCTAAAAGATGAATAAAAGCCATGATTTACTTGAACAAGTATTTACTGTCGGCCATGTGTGAACACCGAGACATGGTTTCTGCTCTCAAGGAGCTAGCTCAAGGCAACTCATTTTGTAACTGAGGATATTCATTACGAGGGATAAAGATCGAAGCGGCGTGTTCGTTTATATTTTTCTGTATGATTAACAAACTTACAAGTAGTGCCCTCGTATCATGAAAGGCAGAGCCCCAGCACTTTACTGTCATGGAAAGGTATTCTGAAAACTACCCAGGAAGAGAAGGAAAGGGAGGACGCAAGCTATGCCTAACTTTCCCTGGTGGTCGTTCTGTCTGATTCGACAGTGCAAGGCAAATCTACATGTGTATGTGCCGGGTAAGTCACCAAAAACAAAACCACTCCCTTCCCCATACACCAACCTGGACCTTAACGCGCTCCCCACTCGTGTTCTGAGCCCGGAGAGCGTCCCGCACGCTCAGTTTGGCTGAAGGTTTGTGTCTCGGGCAGGGAGCGGAAGAACAGGAGCGCAGAGCTCGGAGCAGGCACCCGGCCCCGAACATAGTGCAGCTGCCCTAGTCCCTAGACCACCCCTTGTCCGAGCGTGTTGAGACTGTCTGCGGGGGCCACTACCTTCTCCTACCCTCTCAGCTGCTCCCCTCTTCCGGGCCGCAGTCCGGCCCTCAGGCGCTTCAGAGCCCCTCGATTGTTCCCTTTCCCTTCAGGGGCCCTAGCCCTGCCCCTACAGAACCTCTCCTCCTCTTCTCTCTCCCCGATAGGGCGGGATAGAGACGGCACAACCAGCAATCCCAAGCACCAAGGACCGTCAGGGCGTCCCACCGCCCCGCACTATTTCTAAACCTGCGCTCCAACCCCGGGGTAAAGCACGGACTGCTACGGCCCCTACGTCACCACATCAACGCCGCTTATGTCATCACGTTACGGGGTTAAGAGGGAGCATGCGTACTTATGACCCCGAGGCGGCGGGCTAGAGGCTGGGTGAGGGAGGCGGGGCAGGGGGCGGGGCCAGGATATGAGGGTGGGCGGGGCTGTGGCACTGAGGAGGAGGGGTTATTGCTGAAGCTACCCCGTTGGAATGGGGTTCTCAAAGAGTCTTCATTTCTAACAAGTTCCCAGCTGATGCTGAGGAAAACTTTGAAAGGCAAGGAGTGACTGATGCAGAGGGAAGGTTTGCAGGGGAAGGCTCAGTTGTTGAGAGGATTAGCCTGAGGGTATCAACCATTCTTGAGTTCTTAACACAGAGAAATTCAAGACCCAGCCACTGCTCAAGACACAGTTGTGGGATATCGGGCATCTAAACAGACAATTGCACAAAAAGGTAATTAGTTCTCTGACGGAGCTTAAGGGTGGGATGCCAGAGAAGGCTTCCTGGAGAAGGTAGGTCTCTGATAGGTAAGTAAGAGTAATCGAAGAGACCCTGACTGTGGGATTCAGACAGAATAACGGTGTGAAGGTGTTGGGAGAGAGACGTGGGGCTGCAGGGATTGCCTGCCAGAATCTTCAAGTTTCTCTCTTTTTTTCCAACGCAGTTATCTGCATTTGTTTGAACTGGAAACAATGACCTTTTTAAATTTATCCAAAACATTTTTTTTCTGTAACCCAGTGATACTCAGCAAAAAATTTCTGGCTACACAAAAAAGATAGAAGTGAAAGTTAGTGCTACTTAAAGTTGGCACTATTATTATGCTCATTTTACATATAAGGAAACTTAGACACATAGAGTTTACATGACTTGCTCAAGGATACATATATTAAGAGTGTGAGATCTGAAGCCAGAAAGCCTGGCTCTGTGTGCTAAACCATTATGTTATACAGTGTCTCAAGGTAGAAAATGAAATCATGGTCCCTTCCATCAAGTAGCTTATGGTCTAGAGATGGAGACTGGCAAGAAAACAGATCATTGCAATATATTCCAATAAGTATACATACAGATGTATGAGCCAAGTGGAGTGGTAGTCTAGAAGGAGATAATTAGGCTGAATTTTTGAGGAGGATCAGAATTTTGCCAGGTAGAGATGTAAGAAAAACTATTTCCTGTAAGAAGATGGAAGCCATATAGGGCAAAGGGCCTGGAGAAATTGTAAACTGTTCTCAAGAGAGACAGGAAAATACCTTTCATGATATTTTTGGACATTTTGAGAAACATTGAGAAAGGAAAAATGGAAACTCCAAATGCCTTGAGAATTGTCTATGCGACGCAAGAAAAAATAAGTGTACCTTTAGAGTTTTGGTACAAAATCTGGGGAAAGAGACAATCTAGGATACAAACAATGACTTTCATCCCAATGCAAAGCTCTGGATGGTGCAAACAGTTAATGTGCTTGGCTGCTAACCAAAAGGTTGTAGGTTTGAGCCCACCCAGTGGCACCTCAGAAGAAAGGCCTGGTGATCTACTTCAGAAAATCAGCCATTGAAAACTATGGAACACAGTTCTACTCTGACACACATGGGGTCACCATGAGTCGGAATCAACTCTATGACAACTGGTAACCCTTACCAAGGATTTAAAAGTAGTGAATGGTCAGCTCAGTTCTTACCCAGGCCATTTTTTGGTCTTGCCTTCTTTCTCCACCCACACCCTGCTAAAGAACTGGGGCCTCAGTCTCAGAGAGCAAGGATCCTGACTTTCTTTACCCTCTTATTCCACAACTTATTTAAGCCAAAAGGTTAATTATTTTCTAAGAAGGAGACCACTGCCCAGGAGTGGTAAAACTGAAAATTAGCAATGGTTAATTCAAAATGCATATCATTGAAAAGATGACCATAGCATTCATGTTTCTCGTGCAAAGTTCAAATCACCCCCTGTATCTTATGCTATATCAAATCATACTATCTTCTTCTTTATTTTTGTTTTCAACGTTGGATTGACACTTCCCCTTTTAGATTCATCACCTTCCAGCCAGTAACCAGAGTGATCTTTCTAAAATGAATACATTACCATGTTAGTAATAATAATGACTGTTATAGCATGCTTACTATGTGCCAACGCTCTTCCCATATTAACTCATTTAATCCTCACAATAACCCTTTGATGGATGGTTAGTATCATCAACACTGGTTTGCAAAGCAGGAACTGAAACTCAGAGAGATTCCCTAGCTTGGACCAAGTTACATCGGCAGTCTGGCTCCAAAATACATGCTCTTACCCACTAAGTTACTCTAATGTCCATTCCCCCCCAGCCCCGCCAGTATCATTAGGAGGACTTGCCTTTTTAGTTAGCATGCCTACAAGGCTCTTTTTGATCTATGGAATTTCCTGAAGTGCCCAGAGTGAGAAACAGAAGTGAAATGTCCTCATTGTTATCCTTTTGATACTGCAGGTCTACGCAATGAACACTGTAGTGTTACTCATCAGCTTTAGAGAAGGTTTTAATCAGGCTCTGCATGACAGGTTTCAGCTTAATTTTGCAAAGCTACAGGGCTTCTAAAGGCACACATTACACTGATATCCCATGCTATCCTGGAGCTCAATACTATGTTTGGGTTTTCATTGTGCTTGAATAACCCATGGCACTACTCGTGAAATGGTACACTCAAAACTTGATTTCAATCAAGGTGAAGACCTCAGGGTATAAAGGAATATAGTACTCAATGCAGAAATTATAGGACATTAGGTGTAGGGAAGGATGGATGAATATTGTAAAGGATCTTGGGTTTCTCTGAAGGAGCTAACCATGGTGAATACAATTTAACTTTAAAAATTGAAAAGGCACGTGCACAAAGCAGAAAAAGAAATCACAAGTGTAGTTTGAAACAGACTTTCAGAAAATCAGCAGTCTGCTAAAATGTTTATCTCCACAGTCGGTAGAGAAAATGGGAAGCCAACGAATATGAGATGTGGGCTACAGCAGGGAGGCTTTCTCTCTTTTCTTCCTCTTCCTCCTAACTAGTTGAATACCTACAATGACAGGGAACTAGGTAATCCAAAGCTCACTCAAGTTCTACCTCCTTCAGTGAGACATCCTGGAACCTCGTGTCAGACTTAGATGCCCTTTCCCTATGATCGCATGATACACCTTATATATTTTTGTGAGAACATTTGTTGTAATCATCAGTCTACTTGTCTTACTCCTGCATCACACTGTGACCTCCTTGAGAGCCAGAGACTCAGTCTTATTCTACTTTGTTTTTCCATAACTTAGCACAGGGCCTGTTGTTGTTGTTAGATGCTGTGGAGTCTATGTCAACTCATAGCGACCTCATGTGACAGAGTAGAACCGCCCCATAGAGTTTCCTAGGCTATAATCTTTACGGGGTAGATCGCCAAGTCTTTCTCCTGCAGAGCTGCTGGGTGGGCTTGATCCACCAACCTTTCAGTTAGCAGCCAAACTAGCAGGAGAAAAAGAAGTGGTGCTCCTCTGTTCTTTCAGATGACACTGGACTTCTGGTATAGCAGTCATCATACTGTTTTTTTGATGTTGCCATAAATAGTACCTTTTGGAAAATATTATTTTCTAAATGTCTTTTGCTGATTAACAAAACAGATATTTGTATATTAACATGTATGTGGCAACCTTACTAAACTCACCTATTCTATTAATTTATCTGTTTATTATTTTTGCTTTTCTATGTACACAATCACATGGTCCGCAAAGAGTGATAATTTTATTTCTTCTTTTCCAATCTTTACACACCTTTTTTTTTTTTTTTTAAGCTCAATTTAAGTCCCTGGCTAGGACGTTCAGTACAAAGTTAAATAAACCCACTACCCTATAGGACAGAGTAGAACTTTACCATAGGGTTTCCTATGTAAATCTTTATGGAAGCAGGCTGCCACATCTCTCTCCCTCGGAGCAGCTGGTGGGTTCAAACCACTGACCTTTTGGTTAGCCACAGATCACTTTAACCATTAAGCCAGGGCTCCTCCAGAGTTGAACAGTAGTGATGATAATAGGCATTGTCTAGATCCTGATGTTAAAGGGAAAGTTTTCAGCATTTCACTTTTAGCAGCGACACTTGGATCATTTTAACACCACATCCTCCCTACATGACAAAATTATTTTTAGTAATATTCATGAAATGAAACAATTAATAATGTCCAGAAAATAAATGTAGACAGTAAGAATTTTCTTTTACTAGATTTTACATATATATAAAATCATGCCAGGGAAAAAAATCATAAAAATAAAATCAAATAGGAAAATTAAATATTATGGTACAAAAATGAGAAAAAGTAGTGGATTAATACTTTCTGATTACATTAATTTTTTTTAAAGGCGTAAGAACTTTTACCTACATAATGGTCTGTTATAGTAATAAATAATATTAGAGTTTCCATTTTTCAGCATTAACTTCTACAAATTTGTCAAAACCAGTCTTCTTCACACATCCATGTTCAATAGACAATGTAATCAGTTATGTTAATCAGTCTTCACTCATAGTCAGAGAACACTTTTAGTTAATTTAAATTTTAAAACATTTCTTTCACATAATATATATATCACATTATATACAAATAGTTAGGAAAAGTCTTAATCATAAGAATGAAGTTGACAGAGATTCATAAAATTTCTATGTCACAATAAATTCTAGAAAT